ACGTTTTGAAGCACTAGTAATAGCCAGTAATAATCGAATACCTTTTGCTACTGTGTACAGTTAATAATAGCCAATCACCAAGCAGCTTTCACACTACCAATGTAGCATCTGAAAGAAAAAAGAGAAATGTGATTAAATTCTGTCAAGACTATGTTGACGATCAAAATTAGTACAAAATGTGTCCTTACACCAATTGTAAAGTTACACTGAGGCAATACCAAGAAGCCATCCCTTGTATTTCCAACTGTAGACCAATGTTATTTGATGACTATGACAATGTTGTTTAAAATGGTTGCCACAGTCAGCCTGGCATGAGTTGGCGGTGGTCCCATATCTGAAAATCTTTATTAGGTCATGCCTTAAGACTGTGGCAATCTTTTATCATAAAACCTACAGGAACCTGGCCAACGTCCAGAGAGTCCCCCCTTTGTGCCTCCAGAGACAGCTCCCCTCCCCCTGCCTCCCCTGCTCCCTACAATCTCCCCCTTTGCCTTCCCCCTGCCCCCCAGCCCATTGGTTGGGAGGCTCCCAGCCTATTGGCCACCTCTGCCAATGGGGGCTGCACCTGAGGCAGGGCACCTGCTTGCAGATGCAGACCTGCCTGGCCGTGCCCCCACAGCATGGGGAGGGGGAGCCACAGGGAGCAAGCTCTGGGCATCATCATCACAGGCCCAGCAATTCTCTGGGTATTTAGAATCATAGACTATCAGGGTTGGAAGGGACCTCAGGAGGTCATCTACTCCAACCCCCCTGCTCAAAGCAGGACCAATCCCCAACTAAACCATACCAGCCAGGGCTTTCTCAAGCCTGACCTTAAAAACCTCTAAGGAAGGAGATTCCACCACCTCCCTAGGTAACCCATTCCAGCGCTTCACCACCCTCCTAGTGAAAAAGTTTTTCCTAATATCCAACCTAAACCTCCCCCACTGCAACTTGAGACCATTGCTCCTTGTTCTGTCATCTGTTACCACAGAGAACAGTCTAGATCCATCCTCTTTGGAACCCCCTTTCATGTAGTTGAAAGCAGCTATCACATTCCCCCCTCATTCTTCTCTTCTGGAGACTAAACAATCCCAGTTCCCTCAGCCTCTCCTCAAAAGTCATGTGCACCAGCCCCCTAATCATTTTTTTGCCCTCCGCTGGACTCTTTCCAATTTTTCCACATCCTTCTTGTAGCGTGGGGCCCAAAACTGGACACAGTACTCCAGATGAGGCCTCACCAATGTCGAATAGAGTGGAATGATCACATCCCTCGATCTGCTGGCAATGCTCCAACTTATACAGCCCAAAATGCCATTAACCTTCTTGGCAACAAGAGTACACTGTCGACTCATATCCAGCTTCTCGTCCACTGTAACCCCTAGGTCCTTTTCTGCACAACTGCTGCCTAGCCACTCGGCCCCTAGTCTGTAGCAGTGCATGGGATTTAATTTCACTGAGGCAAGTAATTCAGTCTACTCTTCCGTTCCAGACAGTTTGTGGCTAAGAAAACTTACAATTTCTTCACAAAGAAGTCCATTTATAGTTTTTCACTTGAGAAGTATATTTTCTGGTTGTTCATAAGTTCATTTATTTTGTTAACTCAGTTTCAAAGGCAATTTTAAAAGTCACTTGAATTGTACCTGTTTTTTTCCATTGGTCCAAAAACACATGGAAGATGTGCAGATGTTTATTTCTGTGGGCCAAACCACCCTGTGTAGAAATGTAACTGTCGGAACTAGAAAAGCTCTGCAAGGGTAAGGGTCCCTTCAGGAAATTGTCCTCAAGTCATTAATTCTTCTGGGCATTCCACTCTATTGCTCCCTCCTATAGTGATAGTGATCAGTGTCTCCACCCACAGGGGAGAGACAGAAGACTTGGTCAACCCTGCAGTGACTCTGCCTCTATCCTTGTTCTCTGTCTGCTCCCTCTACCAGCCCCTTTGGTCTCCCTAGGAGTCCCCCTACCATTACTCCGTCTGGGTCTTCTTTCTCTGGAGCTTCTCATGAAGTAAAGTCTGTCATTACAGGTTCTTATCTCTGTAATGTATTTCATTTTGATGTATTTATTAAGTGTTAATTAATGCACTATGGTAGTCCCCTTCAGCCCTCTGTATAAATTAATCTTCTTCTTTCCATATGTTTTGCCCATAGGGTTTTCTGCAGCCCTAGGGCAGCCAGCAATAACCTCTGTGCCTTAGCAATGGGGTGAGGGAAGGGGACCATGGGTTCCCTATTTATATGATTTACAAGAAGTGTTATCATTACTCAGGGTACCAAATGTATTTAAATGATTTAAGTGCCTTGTAAAATCCCAAAGCTCATTTTCATTTCTCATATAATAATCTCATATACACAAATTTTTCATTAATTATATTAATTGAATTTATTATTATTATTATTATTGTTATCTAGGTTACTGGTTTTTTTTCCAGTGAGGAAAATTGTGTGCTATTTTATGGGTTGAATGATTGAATGACATAATACCCTCCCCCCACAATGTCCATCACTAAGTCCGGTAATTTTGTTAAGTGTCCATCACGCAACATGGTGGTGCCCCGTGCATCAGGGGGTCCAGGGTGGCCTGGGAGGTTAGCGGGGGGGGGCCTGGTGCTGGCAGCAGCAAGTGACCCGATCCCAGCCCACTCTACTCCACCCCGCTGGTTCCTGGCATTGCTCAGGGGCAGGGGCTTGGGGGATGGGGTGGAGTGGGGGCCTGGTGGGAAGAGGCAGGGTGTAGCGGGGCATGTTGGGGCCAGGTTGCTCGCTGTTGCCAGCACCAGGCCCCCCGCTAACCCCCCAGGCCACCTTGGACCCTTCATCCCCCTGAAGCACGGGGCCCCCCAAAGTGCAGAGCCCAGGGCGGTTGCCCCAATCCGTCCTATAGATGGGACAGCTCCGATTGGTCACCACCAAAAATTATACAAACCTGCCGCCCATGGCTATGATGATGATACACCTTCCAAGATCCATGGGTCCTACACATGCCTATCACATGTGGTGTACCTCATCCAGTGCACTAAATGCCCCAGCAACAACACTGTGGTGAAACCAATCACTACGCTCTCAAACAAACTCACACAGGAAAATGATAGACAAAAATACCCTTTCACCTGTGGGTGAGCACTTCACAGAAAGCGATCACTCTGTGTATGACCTCTCAGGCCACATCCTCAAAGGCGACCTGCACAACCTTCAGAAGACAAGTGTGGGAGCTTAAATTCATAACTGCTAGACACTAAAAATCATGGACTAAATAGAGAAACTGGATTTATGGCTTATTACAACACTAACCCACTAACACCACCTCCCCTCAACATTTCATAGAATCATAGAATCATAGAATATCAGGGTTGGAAGGGACCTCAAGAGGTCATCTAGTCCAACCCCCTGCTCAAAGCAGGACCAATTCCCAACTAAATCATCCCAGCCAGGGCTTTGTCAAG